TAAAAAAGTACGATAAAAACTCATAAAAAATGTAACATTAATCATTATAAAATATATTAAAATATATTATTCATTAACTAATGGACAGAAAACTTTCATTCTATTGTAAGCTATAAAAAAACAGTTACATTAATTATAAGATATATATTTATAATTTTATACATAACAATAAATCGCTCCTAGAAATAGCAATAAAAAAAAAAACTATTATAACAGAACAAAGTCCTAATAAAATGAGGAAGAAGAAGTAGAAGAAAATATTTAATTTTAAGGCAGAGTCATTGGACCGTTTCCGGTAAAAATAGATTATACATAAATTATCGGTAGGGGTTTAGTGTTAAAAATTTAATAATCCATTGATAAATTGAAAAAAACTATTGAGCACATTTTACAACTAACCAGGACCAATGGTTAAAAACCAGTACTGCATTGATAAAAACATGATCACCTTACTTTACACTGAGCTATATATATACACTAATACATACGAGTAGGAAAATGTAAAGTGCAGGAAGAGGACCGTTTCGTCGTTTATCCATTAAAGATGAGAGAAAGAGAAAGAAAAAGAGAGAGAGAGAGAGAGAGAGAGAGAGAGAGAGAAAGCAATGCGACGTTTTAACCGCTTTCACGTTAGATGCAATTACGAAAGAACGGCCATGATACGATCATCTTTTTCTCTCTCTCTCTCTCTCTCTCTCTCTGTCTGTGTGTGTAATCTGTAGAAAGGAAAAGGAAAGGTAAGATCTACTTACACGATCGATGGATCGTTGGATCGATCGATCTCACGATCGTGAGATCATTCGAAGAAGAGTACTGGCACGCGTCTCGAGTTAAATATGGTAAACGCGTGATACTCATGGCGCCACGCTTGGGACCAGTTTATTTCTTTCTTTCTCTTTCTCTCTCTATATATATATATCTCTATCTTTTTCTCTCTCTTACTCTTCTTCTTCTTCTTTCTTGTTTTCCTACCCTTTTCATTTCTTTTCTTTTCTTTTCTTTTCTTTAGTATACTTTTTATTTGCACGCCAGGAGCGCCATATAAACTCTCACCGATCCGGACCATGGGAGGATATTCTTCAAGGTCACCCGAGATACTTTTTGCGCCTACTCCTTCTCGTCACGCTCCTTATTTGATATATCTTCGAAAATATATATATATATGAAGTATATAGATTTAATCATTTAGATATAAAACTCAGGTGTATATTACGTTTGTATAAGTGTAGGTAATTATGGTAAGAGGGGTATAGGTCGAGAGAAGAATTGTATTAATTTATTAAATGATTTATTTTATAACATAAATCATTTCTTTTTTAATATCTAATAAATCGTTGAATTTATTTTTCTAATTTTTAATAGCTTATATTCTACTATCATAATTACAAGCACATATATATACTTCATATTAAACTATAGTATTAGTATATAGTATAGTTATTTGTATTATTGTTAAAAGATTGTAATATGAACAGGAACTTCTCAAAAACAAAAAAAAAGGAAAAGTAATGAAGAAGACAACGGATTATTATATATATTTTCATTATATAAAATTAATTCTAATATATCAGCATTAAAGTTATTTCTATTATCGACAATTAATTGTAATATTTAATGTCGTTTTTTCTTTCTTTCTTTCTTTCTTTTATATAAATCAGAAGATAATTATGAATAAAGAGATAAAGTATCTAAAACAATTAAAACACATATATTGTATATACACATGTTCATATATATATTGGATACGTAAAGAATGTTGCATATAGTCAAAGTTAAAATTGTAATCTTTGTTTGAATGTCATTGTAAAAACGATTACGAAGTATTTAAAGTATACGGATATTTCGATTTAACTGTAAAGAGAATTGAAAGCGATTTGATTATACTGACCAAGGAAAGATATACAATACATATATATATATATACGGCTTACGTTAGTCCGATAAATCGAGAATTATCTCTCCATATTGGATTATACTCTCGACAAAAAGCAGAGAAGTAATAATGAAACAGAAAAACAAGTAAAAAAAAGAAATATGTGCGCGACGGTATTTACCTGTAGATCGAATTATATGGAAATGAAATGAAACGTTTTGTTATGTGTTACGTTCTGCCATAAATGTGTAGTTACTAGCCTTCCCCCATAACCCCCCTCCCTCCCTCCCTCCCTCTAACCCTTTATTAGTTTTCATTTTTTGTTTTATTTTTAATAATAGGATATACGCCATAAAGGTAGTCTACAAAAAAATTCATCGCGTACAGAAGTACATGAAAAAAATTTGGATATTAAGACATATATATATCATACATAAATAAAATATTCTAGAACAATTTATAATCCGAGAACCAATGACATTTGAATTCAATTCACGATTTTACAAGATTTTCTTTTTTAATTTTTTTCTTTCTTTTTTTTTTTTTTTTATATAAAACACGAAACAATTTACATAGCAAGGTTTTAATTGCAATTTACATGGCAATTCATTTCAATGCAATCAAGATTGCTATTAAAAAAATTGCTCTATGATAAAAAATCACGAAATTGATAGAAATAATCTTTCGGTTTGATTAAATAATCAATTATGTGAAATCTATTATACAAATATAATATAATCATATTATTATAATATATTATCTTTTCTTTTTATCAACTTATTAATTCAGAATATTATTATACTAATGACAATATCGAAATATCATTTACATCAAGATATAATTAAACAATGACAGAATATTTACAACAACAAAAATACAAATATTTGATTGAAGTATTATTAAACTAATTAAATTTCGTAATACGCGTTACATACGGAAAATTAATTTAATTCTGATTTAAAGTTTAGGCTTTAA